TATGACGCCCATATGACTTCGTTTTCTGTAAAAATGATATATGTCCACAGCTGCAACCATCACATTCATTTATTCGGTATTGTTAGAACCGGACTGGATAAAGAACGTTATAATGAATTTAATAGGAGATTACATCTACTTCCCACAGCATATCCTATGTATTATTGAAAACATTTCCCACCGAAGATATTCTTAATATACGCTGAGATGTGCAAGTGGGACGCAGTTGGGCGCAAATTTGAGTTCGTTTAATAAATCCACTTGATCTATTTGAATAAAAATACAAAGAAGTCAAAAGAAAAAAAAAAAAGGGGGAAGAAACCATTCTAATTAAAATGTATTATTAAGCTGATTCATATTTAAAAAAAAAGGTAACTAATAGGATGGGCGTGATAGGGTATTAAACTATTAATGCATGTATCCAGTTTTACAGTCTGATCATTCAACCCATACAACTCTGACAACACTCAATTTCACCGTCACAGCTGCCACTAATGTAGTCAACCGCGCTCCACCATTACCTCCACTTGTCATCTGTCGACAGCTAACTGGCACCTTTTCCTCTGCCACCACCACCACCACCGCCACAGACTCTTCTTCACTGCCACTACCAATGTAGACCACTACTCAGCAATTGTCACTGCCAACACCATTATTCATTAATATCCACCACCACCGAACAAGCTAGCCGGCTACCGCCTTTACCACCCCACCTTCACCATTTTTAAGTATCAACATTTTATGGTGGGGGTGTAATTCGGGCGGGCCCAAGTTGACCCAATTCGATTTTTATACGGATCAAGCCTGACTTTTTGGATCCAGCCCATCTTAAATAGTTGAAATCTTATATACTTAGAAATAAAACATATTCCTCGTCAATAACGAGCTGAGAAGATCATTTCACTGTTCAAAGAATATTGTAATTACGTTCAATTCTTTTAATACAAAAGCACCCTTTACTCTCTGGCATGGTGGAGTTGCTTGCTTAATGCTTACGGTGGGGTGGTGCTTTCAATTTTATTACATCCATAGAATATGGGCTGGGCCTGACGATTCATTGCGGCTTTGTCATTAACTCCACCTTTTTCTGACAATTTAAAATTCGGAATTTATAAGGCTGCTACCACCATCCTTCTCTATAATGGTCTTGGTAGACTATTAGTCTGTACGCCGTACATCCTCAATCCCCTCAGAAACCCTACACGCAATTGACTGAAGATGATATTCCATAGTTGCCCCGAAGGCAATCATACTGTGATATAATAATTGACTTGACCCTGAAGATTTCTAGCAGATGGGCCCAATTCGTTTGAATGTTTGATTGGGCATGGATGACCTGACCTGGTTGGATCCGGGTCAACTTTTCTGGAAAGGGCCCTTTCCCCTTTGTTGAAATTCACTTCTCATGATGAGACATTTATCAGAGTTGCGTTCGATTCTCACCTTCCCACTCGGATCATGGGCTTGGAAATTGATGATATGCGAATGGAGTGTGTGATCACACAACCCCTTTTGTATTGGTATAATACATTTTCCATTATGACACCGGGTTCCACCGGATTCCACGTTCGTTAGAGGCTGAGTTTTTTCCCTTGTCCCGTAAAAGAGGGCGACTTCCACATAAATAGTAATAGTATGACTCTATTCCAAGATTCAAATTCAAAAAATGTCGTCAAAGGCTGTGTTTGGTTGGAATGCGAATTTATTTGTATTGATGCAAAATTATAGCAGTGTAATATTTTAAATTTTATCTTATTTTATTTGATTGGAGTACAAATGAAATAAAGCAAGACTTGAAGCAAAATAAGATAAAACCCAAAACAAAATTAAACTAGAATGCAAATTCTTTTCATTTGCACTCCTATGCATTTGTACTAATGCAAATAAAATTGCATTGCAATCAAACACAGCCAAAGTCATAAAGTGAATTGCATTAGAGATTTCACATTAGCTTTTCTCTTCTCCCTACCGAGACATTGCTAATTAAAGGGGGTGTGTCACTTTACTACTGAAAATTTTCGAATGCCCTGCCAAATTTTCACAAGTATACCAAAAAAAAATATATATCCTTTGTTAGCATTACAAAGACTAAGAATTGTCGTGTGCATTATGTGACCTATAATTTTTTTTGAAATACCCAAGTTATCCTTATAGATATCTAGAAAAGGACTTGTTTTCCACTCTACTTCTTTGGTGATTTGAGGCCTCTATTTGAACGGAAACTTAGACTCAGTTTGGAAATAGTGTAAATACAAATATGTACAGTACAAATGCATACAAAATAATATAAAATACAAGGTTTTCCACTCTACATATTTACATTTGTACTCCTTCCAAACTAAGCCTTAAGGTCGTTCGTTCCAATGGGTTTGAGAATACAATCCCACCAGGCCACCACACATATGAAATAAACAGCGTTACTTTGGTCATAACTTATAAAAATTGTGGGGGGGGGGGGGGGTTGGTCTTTTGCTTAGGTAGTAAAGAAACACACTCCCGATAGTATATATAGGGGTGTTTCTTGGAGCTTGCCCTTAACCCAAAGACAGAAAGAGCAACCAAGGAAAATTATAGCTATATAGATTGGAAAGGCAAATGTGGGCAAATACAATGTCACTAACTAGAATCAATCAAAACCATTGACAATTAGTGGAACACAAACTATAAAAATTTTAGGAAAATATATTGCCCTATGTCTACATCTACAAGCCATGTCTAAGACAACTTTTTAGCAAGTCCCGTTAACCCAATGAACTGTATCAGCATGTGCTGATGCTAACGTTGATCTATATATCCTTAGTAGGCCCATGGGCTAGCCCTTCTAAAAGTGAAAGTGTCACTCTTCTTGACAGTGCAACGTATATGCATGCACAAGACCATATATATAGCTCAGCTCTTCATAATTTAGCAAAGCATGGCTTATGATGAGAGTGACACTGAGGTTGACATGGGAGGGACCCACTTTTACTTGTACATGTAGTATAGAAGACACAAATCAGCTTGCGAGGAACATACAGGAGTCTGGACCTCTAGGCGTGGATGATTGAGGACCACAGCAAACAAAATGTTACAGTACTATTTTGTTAAGAATTCTTTAAACTAAAGTATTCCATGTTATTGAAAGCTGGCCATGTAAATATATTAATCAAATGCTTTCTTTGACAAAATGTTAGGAAAACAAGCAACATTACTAATTTAATATCACCCACCCATTTGCAGTTATGAACAAAATTGGCTATGAAGAAGTTGAGAAGCTGCATGCATTTTCCATCAAAACGCCATTAACACGGAAAGAATCCACCGAGTTGAGCCCACGCAAAAAAAAAAGTTGAAAGGGAATGGTAAAAGATAGGAGAGATGCCTTTCCATTTTTATTGTCATTGTAAATGTTTTGATTTCCGAAAACAAATGACCGGGAAAGAAGTTGAGATTTGGTGATTTCAAGAGCCTCTAAAGCTAGAAAGTTACACATACAGAAGGTAATTAATTATAAGAGGCGTCAGTGATATATAGTCTCTCATTTCTGTATGTTCACATTTGGTTACATTTTTCAAAAGAATCAAAATATACTATCCAGTACTTCTAGCCTGTTGGTGAAAAAAATGTACAATTAAAATAGAAAAAATCCCAGGTCGACATGATCTTTTCTTCACTCCTTTTCATTACAGTTTACGTACTGCTGCCAGATGCCACCAATACAAGTATCCTACCATATAGTAGCATAAGTTAAATTAATGAACGTAACGAGCAATTGTATCATCTCTTAGTCAATTCAACTCAACAAAAACCTTATGCCAATTATTTGGTACAGAAATTCTGTTTAAATTTCTGTTCATTTTTCATACAAAAATATGAATCATTCTGAAATTGGTTTAACTAGTAACATAACATGTAAGTGCATTTGTACGTGACAATGTCTCTAAGATAAAACTATTTATAATTCATTGACAGTTTTTGAACGGTTATAAGTAGACAGTTTCTGAAACAAAAGTAAAAGACATATATGTCCTTTTTTATGCCCATTATATGCTTAGACAAGGGGTAGAAAATGTACAGAAAAAAAGGGATTCGCTGTTTTATAAATAGTATAGATAGATACACCAATGAAACTCAAATCCGTATTTATTGAGGAGCGTGCTAATATTTCTTCTCACATATTTTTGAAACAGCTAGCATTTAGGAAGGGAATTAAAGAGAAGTTACTTTTTTTGGTAAAGAAAGAGAAATTGCTTTTGAAGGAAATACTTTCTGCTACTTATTTACTCAGAGGAGAACGATCATTCTTCCGAGAAGATCAAATAGCTAGGGCGTGTATAGATATTGTATATATAGCGCTGTGAAGGTCCTTATTACCTTCAACACACTCTACAGAATATTTTTCACATCAACTGATTCTAATCTCACAAAAGCTGACCTTGTTCTTCTAGCTATGCAGAGAATTGGTGCACATGTGGGACACGGCGTTGTCGGAGCTATCCTACATACCCTTACTCTCTTAAGCTTAGACTTGGATCCTGATCATAAAGATCCGATTTAAACTCTGGTAAGATTTGTTGTTGAAAGAATCACGATTTTCCGTTTTCTGTATCTATCTCCTATACTGTTATCTACATGAAGGCTTGCACGACTGAAAATACACACAATCAAAATATACACGCATTATTTTTTCTTGTTGTCCCCAGAAGGAATATGTTAATGTTTCAATCCCCCCTTTTCCTTCTTTCTTCTTCCAGTTTATTTATAAAAATTTGGTAGTTGATTGAAGATGCTGAGTATTTAATTCACCGCCATATATAACCTAATTGCCAAATTGACTAGTAATTTCCAATCCTGTAACAAGTTGGTTGACCATGCACTGCCATTCCGAGTAATAACTTTCATCCTTCCATTCTTCTCAGTTATGCCTTCGTTGCAGTCCCCACCACCTCTCTCTCGTCGTCCCTATAAATCGAATGAACTTTCTTCTGTAATACCCGTGGAAGTTTCCTCTACGGACGATCATGGATTCTATCCTCTTAAATTTCCACCGCCCAACATCTTCTGAAACCCTAGATTTTGGAAGAATTGTTCAGCATTCACCCACATCAGTTCTCAAGCCCAACACCCCAGAAGACATTTCTTCTTTGCTGAAAACCATATCTTCGTCCTCTCGTTACAACAGTCTAACAGTTGCGGCCAGAGGTGCAGGCCACTCTATTCACGGCCAAGCCCATGCGCTAGATGGTATCGTTATAGACATGACTAGCCTACCGAAATGCATTAGAATCGGTAAAACCAAAGTGGGTAGTGATCAAAAAGATTGTTTCTTCGTAGATGTTGGTGGGGGAGTTCTCTGGGTTGAGGTTTTGGTGGAGACACTGAAACATGGTCTAGCTCCAAGATCATGGACCGATTATTTATTCCTTACCGTGGGCGGAACGCTTTCAGTTGGTGGCATTAGTGGGCAGACATTTAAGTATGGGCCTCAGATATGCAATGTCCTTGAAATGGATGTAATTACAGGTAATAGTGCGAGATTTTGTAGGATTCCACTTCAAGGTTTATTGTTTAATTTTCTGTCTTGCATGCTTTTTGATCATCATTTGGCTGTGACAGTACTATATTTTTCTTAATTAATACAACTAAAACAAAATCAATTTCTTTCAACTCTCCTTGAGTTTAATGGTCGTTGCAGGAAGAGGAGATATTCTGACTTGTTCCAAAGATCAGAATTCAGAACTTTTTCATGGAGTTTTAGGTGGATTGGGACAGTTTGGGATTATCATAAGAGCAAGGGTCATTTTAGAGACCGCACCCGAGATGGTAAGTATATAATAAACATTGAAAACCATGTAACTGTTTCAATTGATGCTTTTCTGAGCAAAAAAAGAAAAGAAAATTTTGTCAAATACAGACTTTTATCCCCATTATTCTTTCAAAAGTGAGAGAGTTTATCATTATGCGATGATATATATGAGAATTGAATATTCTTTTTCCCTTAATTTGATATGTAGGTTAGATGTGTAAGACTGACCTACAATGATTTTAGTAAGTTTACTGGAGATCAAGAGCGTCTAATTTCAATGAAGGAGGTGGATTATGTAGAGGGTTTTATGAAGCTAAGTTGTAGCGAGAATAAACCATTAGATCACTTATCGTTTATCCCTTCAATTAGCGGGAGTACAGAAAGCAATGTAGAAAGAAGAAATGTGGCTTATACCATTGAAATGGCAATGTATTATAATGGGGCAACAGACGCTCAGCAGGTTGCTTTCTCATTCAAATTCTTATACATTTTCATAAGTAAGAGAATTTCATGGTCAATTGTTGTGAATGCAACTTCTGAACTTACTTACTTGCAGCTGATGGATCAAGTATTGTCACGATTGAGCACTTCAGTGTCCGCGATAAGCAGCCTTGACGTCTCCTATTTTGATTTCCTCAACCGTGTAAGGCAGGAGGAGCTAAGACTTCGAAGTATTGGACTCTGGGAAGTACCTCATCCATGGCTAAATATGTTTGTGCCCAAGTCTCAAATAACTGCATTCCATGACCTTCTACTTAATGTCATTTCTTCTACCCCTATCAATGGACCAATATTAATTTATCCAATGCTCAGATGCAAGTACGTAGGACCCTCTCTCTCTAGATTTCTCTCTCCTTAGTCTTATTCCTATATATTTCATGTGTCTGCCTGCCTGCTGGGTGTCTGTATTGATCGATCCCTTACTTATTCTAAGTTAAACTCCTATAAATAATTTTTCCTTTTTTTCATTTTAGGTGGAATCCTAAGATGTTTGTGATATTGCCAAGAGATGATGTTGATGGAGGGGAGTACATATTCTATGCAGTAGGACTACTTCGCTCTGCAGTGCCGCCTTCATGCCTACAGACGCTTCTTAACCAAAACCAGAAGATCATTATTGCTGCAACATCGAGACATACTGCTCAGGTCAATAGAACGGGAGCCGGTAACTACACAACCAGTGCAAAGGGGGAAATGAGATTGGATGAAGAGAGTGAAGAGAAAGTTGTGATGGGCACAATTGTAGATCAAAACCACATGGGTGCAAAGCAATATATACCGTATTACAGAGATGATAGTGAATGGAAGGACCATTTTGGAGAACATTGGGAAAGATTTGTGGCACTGAAATCTAAATTTGACCCTTTAAATATTTTGAGTCCTGGGCAAATGATTTTCAGGAGAAAGAGAAAAGAAGTTTAACGCCAACAAGTTTCAATTCTTATGGTAATTGGGGGATATATATATATATATTTACCTGGTCATTTGTTTCTGATTACAAAGGTTTTAGAACTTTTAACTACTTTGAGGCCAAGCTGGCGTTCAAATGATTTTCAAGAGGAAGAGAAAAGAAATTTAACGTCATAAAATGTATTTGTTTCAGTTTCTTATGGTAATTAAAATGGGGGGATGTATGTTTACCTAATCTTTTGTTTCTGATAACCACGCTGCAAATAGATCAATTCAAATATAGGTAGATCAAAGTTTGATTCATTTATGAGTACATATATTTTATTAATAAAAATGAACTAAAAATGACACTAAAATTGTATTTCGTGAACAAAGTGAACTGAAAATTACCTGTATGAAACTTGAATCCATGATAATTTAGTCAAAGTACAAAGTTCAAACTATCTTTACTAAAAGATAAATTTTGAACTTTAAGTATATATGAGTACATATATTTAAATTGTATTGAATCAGATTTTATCAGATAAAAAAGGATGATATGGATCCATATTTGATCTAATTACAAACTGATCAAATTTGAATCGCCCTTGATGGGATCAAAATTGAATTTGGACAATTGGATACCCTTTGCAGTCCTACTGTTAATAACTTTTTTTACTTTATAGGGTCATTTACTAAAACAATCCCCTTTAAGTTCATGGATTTACTGAAATCTATCCTATAGTTTGCATTTTAATTATTAAAGCATCTCCTATAATTTGCAACCAATTTACTTAATCAATCTTTCATTATATGAAAGTGGAAAATGACAGTTTTGACACTTATATCAATTCAAATAAATTTAATAAAAGAAAAATGAAAGTGTCATTTTTGCCCCTAATAAAACATGAGCAACCACTCTACTTTGCTTTGTTTAGTTAATTTTGTTTTCTTTATGAAAATGTATTGGGGGTACTTTTGGAATAAATGACCATAGACCCATGCCTTTGAATATTTTCTACTCATTTTAGGTGATCATGTTATTATTTTCAGATGGCAAAATAAATAGTTCTTAATGAAAGTTCCATTAAGTAAATGGCCCTTAGATATATTTCCTCTTTTCATTGCTAATCAAGCCCTCCACATTAAAGACACATGGAGGGGCCCATAATCTTCTCTCTATTTTTTTTGGAAAAAAAAATGTATATATATATATATATATATATATATATATATACTAAATTA